TGTACAGACATTCTCAGCACCCCCCAATCCCACTCTAGAGTTCCCAGCCCTGGCCATGCCTCCTCCTCCACAGACCCAAAGCAGAGTTCTCCGGGCCCTGGGACTGGAACCCACCTCCTCCTTGCAGCAGCTGCTGCTGGTGGTGGTGGTGGTGTGTGTGTGTGTGTGTGTGTGTGTGCGCGCGCGCCACCATCTGTGTGCTGTTCTGGGCTAGTGACTACCTTGCACACAGCCCTTACTCCCTCTCCCCACCCCCACCACAGTTGCCCATATTTTCTCAGGCCCAGATCATGCACACATGCCACACAGTCAGCCATACTCATTCACACGCAGAAACACGCCCTGGGTCTCCCTGTCCCAAACACCTCTGCACGTACGGCCAGAGGATCACCATGCACACAGCTGCACCACAAGTCCTACCTTCTCAGCTCTCCCATTCACCCCTCAGCAATCTCCGAGGAGTTCCAACCTCTGCCACCCACAGGGAAAGACAAGAGGACCAAACTGGTCAATTCCACCAGGCTACACTCAAAGGCATGGGCCCGGTCTCTTTTGTTCACTGTTGTATCCTCAAGTGCCTGGGACATACCTGGAATCTTGTAGGTGCTTAAAAAATATTTGTTAAATACATTATTTGTTAAAGAAATGTGTTTATAGTGTCTAACAGTCTACTCAGAGAATCCATAGTAGTTTACAGCCTCTCAGTGAAAAACATGAATGCATCCCAAAGTGTACACACAAGAAGGCATCGGATACACACCTAGGACACCTTAAATATAGGCGTGTACGCCCTGACTGGTTTGGCTCAGTGGATAGAGCATTGGCCTGCGGACTCTAGGGTCCCAGGTTCGATTCCGGCCAGGGGCATGTACCTTGGTTGCAGGCACATACCCAGTAGGGGTGTGCAGGAGGCAGCTGATCGATGTTTCTCTCACATTGATGTTTCTAACTCCCTATCCCTTCCTCTCTGTAAAAAATCAATAAAATATATTTTTTTAAAAAATAGGTGTGCGCCCACAGGTGCCTGCTTCTATGCAAACAGCACAACACCTAGATTAGAGGTTCTCACCTTTGGCTGCACAGAACTACCTGGGGAGCTTTTATTTATATTTTTTAATCCTCACTCGAGGATATTTTTCCATTGATTTTTAGAGAGAAATATCGATGTGAGAGAAAACATCGATTGGTTGCCTCCTGCACATGCTCTGACCAGGGCCTGGGCCAGGGAGGAGCCTGCAACCCCGGGCATGTGCCTTGACTGAATTGAACCCGGGGACCCTTTGGTCCACAGTTCGATGCTCTATCCACTGAGCCATACTGGCTAGGGCCCACTTGGGGAGCTTTAAAAAATTCCAATGCCCAGGCCCACCCAGCTCAATAATCTCAGAATCCCTAGATTGGGAACCACTGACCTAGATGAATGGACTCAAATGTTGACACTAGGTTTATTACCAGGAATGGTGGTGAAGTAGATTTTAACAGTGCAGTGAGCAGACTTCCACAATCTAGCGTTTGAACCCTGGTGTCACTATTTACTGAGTGGTCTTTGTAAATTACCTCTCTATCTGTAAAACGGTGATAATAATCGTTACAATAAAAAGCCTCGTAGAATTGTTGTGGCGATGGAATGAATTCATATAAATACACACACACACACACACACACACACACACTTATATATATGTTAAATGTTTAGAACAGTATCTGGATCATAGTGTTATAATTGTATAATTATTTCCGATTTTTATTTGTATAATTTAAAATTTTATTATAGAACAAATCATTTTTTTGGATGAATTTTATGAGCAGGTCCCCCCCCACCCCCAAACTGTTATGAAAAGGCAAGGGCTCAGAGTCAGATGCCAGGCCAACCGACTTCTGCCACTTCCCATGTAATCTTGGACAAGTCACTTCAGTCTCTGAAGCTGTCTTTTCATTTGTGAGGTATCTTTCTCTACTTCAACGATTGTTCTGAGGAATAAGCACCTCCAGGAAGTATTTAATAAATGGTGGTAAAATCCAAATCCCTAGGGACTATGTTGCCTTGATATATTCTGGGATCAGGTATGGGACTGTGGTAAGAACAGATCAAACAGGGTGCTGTGCCCTGGCCGGTTGTCTAAGTTGCTAGAGCATAGTCCTGTACACCAAAAGGCTGTTGGTTCAATTTCCAGTCAGGGTGCATAACCAGGTTGTGGGTTCGCTCCCCAGTTGCAGTGAGTATGGAAGGCAATAGAGACGTTTCTCTCGCTCTCTCTCTCTCTCTTCTTTCTCAAATCAATAAAAACATATTCTCGTGTGAGGATAAAAAATAAGCCCTGACCGGTTTGGCTCCGATGGTTCTCTCTCATTGATGTTTCTAACTCTCTCTCTCTCTCCCTTTCTCTCTGTAAAAAATCAATAAAATTATTTAAAAAAAATAAAATAAAATAAAAAAATAGGGTGCTACTCATCCTTCCCCACCCACCTGGGCAAGGTCTGTTGTCCTTTGCCCAAGGCCCCAGGGCCCAAGGGCACAGAGAACCTTAAATCCCAAAGGCTGGGCCCTTGGCCTCTGGAGCCTGTTCTGCAAAATACATCTTGGCTTCCTTAGCCCTTACTAAGCTCTAGAACCCTGCCCTCCCCCGTTCTCTCGCTGACCCCTCCTTTCAGGGAACCCCAGTTTTCCTTTCCGAGCCTGCCTCCCATCCCGAAAGCTATAAGCTCTTCTGAGTTCCCATCCCTCTCCTGTTGCCCCTCTATTTTTTTTTAAAGAATCCTCACCCGAGGCTATTTTTTCCATTGATGTTTTTAGAGAGTGGGAGGAAGGGGGAGAGAAACGTCTATGTGAGACACATCAATTGGTTGCCTCCCGAACGCACCCCGACTGAAGGTGGGGATCAAACCTGCAACCCAGGTCCTTCGGTTTGCAGGCTGGTGCTCTAACCACTGTGCACACTGGCCAGGACACCCCTCTCTTTGTAGTTAATCCTCTCAAGTTAAGCTCTCAAATTAATGAGCCCCCTTGCTGGGCTATAATCACCTCCCTGAATTCCCATTTCCTTCTTGGGTCGCCCCCTCCCTATCCCCACTCTTATTCTATGGTAGATACTCTTCACTGGCCTTCCTCCCCATCTCTAGACCAATCACAAGTGGAGCCCTCAGTCCCCCGCTGGGCACTGCCTCTGCCCAGCCTGCCCCACCTGGACAGCCTCTCCAAGTCTCTTCTGCTTCCTCAGCAACCGCAGAACATTTTTTCCCTGCAGGCGATTCCTGGGGCTGAAAACAAGCTTCTCCGGCCTCCCCCACTGGTTCCTGCAACACCACCCACCCCCTCCAACCAGCCTCCACCCTGCCCAAGTGGTCTTGCCAAAGCTCTCTCCCCTCCCCAAACACAGTGTCTGCTCCAAACAGACCTAACTATGTGTGACTTCCGCCCCCTGCCACCCTCTCACACCTCCAGGCCTTTGCACATGCTCTTTCCGCTTCCAGGAACAAAGCCGCTCTCCCCGACCCTCCCGGGGTCTCGCTGCTCCCTGCCCCCACTCCCAGCATCTCTCTGGATTGTCGGTTTGAGCACAGTGTTGATGCCTTTGCTCTCACCATGCGGGAGGGTGAGGACTTGGGGATTCGTGGACGGGCCTTGGTGGGTGGATGAGCTGTCACATCCAGCACAGACGCTGCAGTTCTGTTTCCTGCCCCGATCTGAACCTCCGGCCTTCTCTTTCAGACAGGGGTGCCCACAAGGTGGGGGTCTGTGTTTTGTTTTTAAATTTTGTACATTTTAAAAAGTATTTGCAGTTGCTGGTTTTGTGCAGAAAGGGCCCCAAGCCTTGGGCTTCTCCTTTGACTCTCCCAGCCTGGACCTTGCTGGTCGGGTCAGGGAGGGAGGCCACGGGGAGCGGCCCTTGGAGTCTCCCTGAGCTTCCGCAGGAGGGACAGGAGAAGCCACACTGGACAGAGCTTTAACATACAACGCACCGATAGGAAAGGCTGCTTGCTAAAGACCAGGCAGCCCAACTGGGCATTGTTTAGTCAAGCAGCCAAGAGCTCCCCAAGGTCAGGGGAGTGGGAAACAGCTCAGTTCTTCCAGCTCCACCAGAAGCAGGCACAGGAGGAAGAGATGTCTTTGCATTTCCAAAGTTCACGAAAGCTGCAAGGAAACCCAGACCCAGCATTTGGGGCTCAGGATGGAAAAGAGAAAGCAGAGAAAGAAAGGGTGTGACTGGCTTAGTCACACCTGCAGTTTGCAGGGGCAGATGGAGGTGGATTGGAGCAAAACGAGGGCCTGGAGACAGAGGAGACCCAGGGCCTGGGGCAAAGGGGAGACAAGGGGGAGAGGGGACACTCCAGTCCTTGTGGGGACAAAGGGCATCTCACAGGGTTCTTGGGCTTAGGACGGAACGAATGACTCCGACAAGTGTCCCTGAACCAGAATAGAACGTGTGGCCCAGAGGCTGGGAAACACAGGACCTGGGCCGAGAGTACATGCGGGGGGTCCAGAAGCGGGGGAGACCAGAAACTTGACTCAGAGGAACCTAGGACTCGGGGGGACAGGGGTCCTAGAGGCAGGCATCCCTGCACTTTGAACAGGACGGTGGTCCCGGGGCAGGGGAGACCCGGGGACATAAAAAAGGGCCCAGAGAAAGGGAGAGCTGGGACGTGGGCCAGAAGAGGGTCTTAGAGTGAGGGGAGACCAAGACCTGGGGCAAAACCAGGCGCTTAGAGGCAGAATCCCTGCGCCCGGGACAGAATGAACAGACCGGGGGCCAGACGTGCTAGGGGGCAAACGGGGGAGCCCGAGGCAGGGAGACCCAGGGCCTGGGGAGGAATTGGGGTAGTGGGCCCAGATGTGAAGGGGACTCAGATCTCAGGCAAAAGGGAGGGACCACAGGGCAGTATTTCAACTTCTCTGGGGACCCAGTGGCTGGTGACAAAACCCAGGCCTGCCCCTTCCATCCCACCCTCACTCACCCGCCCGCCCCTTTCACAAGACACAAGGTGTGTGTGTTGTTTTTTTGTTTTTTTTTTTTGCTTTTTTTTCATTTCTTTTTAATACAAACTTGGATCTTTGGGTGTGTCCTGCCAACAGAAAACAACAACAACAACAGAAGAGAAAACCCAAAAGAGTGAAAAATAAGAAAGAAAGAAAAAAAAAAAGCCCCCGCAAGAGGTTCTTTCCCCTCCCCCCCACCATGCGAATTTGCACACCACGGGACCACAGCAGGTTTACAGAATGCAATATACAATCCACGATTTATAATAAAACAGTATATACAATAAATAGGATATTGTTCATTTTTGTCAAACGACCTGTAGATAAATTTCTCAGTGCATACTTGCAGGGGCTCCGGACACCTCGAGGCCCCGCTTGCAACCTCTTGCACGCGCTCGCTCTCTCGCTCTCTCTTTTTTTTTGTCTTTTTCTAAAACTGTGTTTTGTTTTTTAAGTTTTGTACATTTTTAAAAAGTATTTTACAATTGCTGGTTTTGTGCAGAAAGGGCTCACCTTGGGCTTCTGCGTGGAGGAGATGGGCGGGGTGGGGGGAGGTTGGAGGAGATGGGGCTGCAGGGGGGTGCAGGTGGGGCGGGGCGGGAGGCAGAGGGGCAAGCGCTCCTGCCAGAGGACGATGTGGACGCTGGGAGGGGTCTTGGCGTTGATTTTCTGAAAGCTGCAAAGAAACAGAAGAGAACAGACAGAAGTCAGCAGCAGGCAGACACTGAGCTCTGAGAACAGGGAGGCTACGTGTGGGAGCCCACCCAGTTCCTACCAGGATTCTGGGAGAAGCTAACCCCATTGTTCCTTCTCCAAACTGTTCCCCATGAAACTCTGGGCTGCTCCTGGCTTTCTCTGAGCTCGGTTTCTCCATCTGTAAAACCATGTGTGGTCCAAGGCCATTGAGAGGTAAAGGATGAGCTGGGTGAGTGGTTGGAGTTCCAAAACTTGAACTCTAGCATGGCTGGCGTGGCTCAGAGGTTGAGCGTCAACTTATGAACCAGGAGGTCATGGTTCAATTCCCATGCCCGGGTTGCAGGCTCCATCCCCAATGTGGGGTGTCCTGCACGCCCCCAATCAGTAATTCTCTCTCATCATTGATGTTTCTATCTCTCTCTCCCTCTCCCTTCTCTGAAATGAATACAAATATATTAAAGAGAGAGAGAGAGAGAGAGAGAATTTGAATTCTAGAACCAGACACAGCTAAGTTCAAATGCTGGCACCACCATTAATAGCTCTATGACCTTGGGCAAGTTGGTGAATCTTCTGTGAGCCTCAGTTTAGTCATCTGTAAAAAGGGGACAACAGAACTATTCCATAGGTTTGTTGGGAGGAGTTAGTGGTTCAAGGCAGATTAAGCCTGGTACATAAATGCATAATAAATGACACTAATTACTAGTTGCTATTCTTTTCCTGGGGCCTGGGCCAGCTAGGCTCTCCAAGGCTGGGTTTCCTCATGCAACAATGAGTTTAGTAATTCCTCCAACCGAGGCTGTTCTGAGAAATGACACAATGGAGAAGATGGGGCCTTAGCACAGCACAGGTGTGAACTGCCGCTTTAATTTCTTCTAAATCGAACCCTCTTCCCAGCCCCCACCGATGCCATTCTGTTCCTTAGAGAGGTGAGGTGAGGAGGAAGTCTGTCTGAATAAAGGAATAAAGAAATTGCCCAACACAATACCATCTGTGTTTGGCTGCACCTCCTGCCTTCCTGAAGCTCAGGAACTCCCCAGTCCCCAGTCCCTACAACCACCAGACACTGGAGGGCTGGAGTACCCCCTTCCCTGGAAGGGCCCCGGAGTATTGACTCCTTACAAAGACCCCAGCTTTGCTGGGATGAGCAGGAAGGTGCCCTCAGGGGCAGGGATGGGCTCAGTCATTCTCAAGACCCCCAGTCATTAGCCTGACCCTTTCAGAGTTCTGTCCTCTCAGAGCCCTGAAATTCACATCTCCCACACTTGGTGAGTGACCGTCCCACCAGAATTCAGGGGCAGGTGAGGGTGTTAAAAACACCTTCTCCGACTCCTCAGCCAGCCAGCCCACCATCCCCCACCCAGCAGGAACCGGCAGCCACAGAAAGCCTCTCCTCCCTTGTCCTCCTCTTGGCTTCCCTTCCCAACAGGCCACATTTAAATTCTGCTCAGCCTCGGCTGTTGTCTGCTGGGCAGTCGGCCCCGGGGAAGACTTCTGTCCTGGGGTTGGACTTGCCAGTACTCCCCCAAGGCCAGAGGACCCAGGTGGGTTCTAGGAAGGTGGTGGGAGCAGCACCCCACCGGGGGGTGCCTCAGCCCAGGTGGCAAACAGAGATGTGAGGGGGAGGGTGGGAGCTGCATCTTTGTTAAGCTGTCAGGTCTCCTGCAGGGAGGGGAGGATGGAACATTAGCCGCAGGGGTAAGAGGCATGCCAGGTAGGGTGACAGCTATATTGCGACTCGGGGGATTGGTGGAAAAGCAACTCTCGGGGCAAGGGGTGCGGTGGGATGGATGCCAGTTCGCCACAGGTGGGGTGATAAACAGGAGCAGCTGCGGAGATAAGCAGGGTGTCCATTAGGCAGGACTGTTAGATGTGGGGGAAAGGTGCAGCTGAAGGGCTGGAGGCACCGATCTGCAGGACAGTTCTATGCAGTTTAAAAACAGCTGCTGAGCTCAGGAACCTCCTGTTGGGGTGATGGGTATAATGTGTTGGGGAGACAAAAGAGGGGGGGACTTAGAATGGGCTGCTCCAAACCACTTAGCAAGTGAATTCTACCAAACCCCAGCCTCTCCTGTTCCCCTGAAGGGCCCCAGGGCAGGCTGGGAGCCTCCTCACAAATCCCTGTCACCCCCACCCCCTCCAGCCCTTAGCCACTGCCAGTGACCCTCTCCAAGCCGGGTCTCCATGGTGATCTCAGCCCAGCAGGCAGCTCCTGCCAGAACCATTCCCATGGTGCCGGTGGCCAGGCAGCAGGGAGGCTTTCTCACCCTCTGCTAAGCCATCCTGTCTCACCTTCCTCCTCCCACCGCCCTCCCCAGCTTTCATGACTTGGCCAGAATCTGGGGGACGGTGGGGGATGGGGAGAGAATCGAATCCAGAGGCTCCTGAGCAGGGGAGGATGGAGAAGGCTGTGGCTATATAGAACCCTGACCTCACGAGGTTCAATTTTCCACAAAATGGAACCAAGGCTCAGGGCTGGGCACTGGAGACAAAGCAGAGAACAAGATTGCTAGCCCCTGCCCTTGAGGGGCTCACAGAGCAGGGAAGGAAGAAAAGCAGACCCCAAACCAGGAAATTACAACGCAGGGAGAGGAGGACTGTGCCAAGGGAAGCCCTGGGGGGCCCAGCCTTGGCAGGAGGCACTGTGGCTCTTCTCCTCCCTGCGGAGCACAGAGCCCTGTACACGCTGGGGTCAGGAGTGTGTGCTGACTGAACGACGGCGAAGATAGCGAAGACGGGTCTAAGTCTGATCAGCATGTCAAGGTCCAGCTCAGGTCGCGCACACCTCCTGGATGCTGCCTCAGACCACCCCGTTACCATAGCTACCAGTGCACTTGTCATTCCCTTCCCTGCTCCTCCAGGGCAGAGACCTGTGTGGACCTCTGTATCCCCAACACCAGCATGTGCCTAGCGCCCCAGGGCACCAGCCATTGTTCATGAGGCTTAACCTTTTAGTGCCTTCGTGATGAAGGACTACAGAGTCCCCTGCCACCGAGTCCTTGTGCTCTAGCAGTTTTCCTGTCCGAGGGGTCTGGGCACTAAATGGTCTCTGCCTGTCAGTGGGCGCTAGCACTGGGGGGCACTGAGGGATAGCTGGGCAGGGACTCAAAGTACAAATCAGGTTGTCTGGAGAGAGCTGCTCTCCCCACTAAAGGAGCACACATTCCGCCCGGCTGGCATGGCTCAGTGGTTGAGCATCGACCTCCGAACCAGGAGGTCACAGTTTGATTCCCGGTTAGGGCACATGCCCGGGTTGTGGGCTCAGTCCTCAGTGTGGGGCATGCAGGAGGCAGCCGGTCAACGATTCTCTCTCATCATTGATGTTTCCATCTCTCTCTCCCTCTCCCTTCCTCTCTGAAATAAATTAAAAAAAAATTTTTTTTTAAAGGAGCACACATTCCGTGTTCATTTAAGCAACCAGCAGACATATATTCACACCCACTAACTGCAGGCTTAGCTAAGGTCTAACCCCTACCTTCTCACATCAAACAAGGCGGCGGAGCAGAAGGCCAAGAGAGTACATGGAACTGAACCGGCTTGCTGTGTGACCTGGGAAAAGTCCTTAGCCTCTCTGGCCTTCGGTTGCTCTGTAAAATAAGGGGATTGGACAGGTAGCGGGGAGAGCGCCGAGAAAGGGCTCCAGAGACAAGTGGCCAGAGGCAACCGCAGCTGCCCACAGGCTAATCCACCCCTTCGGATGCTTCCAGGCAAAGTCAGGCCGGCAAGCCCCTCAAATGTGGAGAGGACACTGATGCCCCTTGGGGCACAGGTCACACCTGAGAGAGATTCCAGGAGGGTGGGGCTTCCATTGGGAATGGAAGGAGCTCCCCTCTCCACTCCAGGGAAGTTTTTAAAAAAATCAGAGTCCAGTCCTGGCTAGTGCTCTCAATGGTTAGAGCAACATCCCTCGCACAGAAGGGCCATGGGTTCAATTTCTGGTCAAAGGTACCTGGATTGCAGGTTCGATCCCTGGCCCCAGTGGAGGTGTGTATGGGAGGCAACCAATCAATGTGTCTCTCTCACATTGATGTTTCTCTACCTCCCTCCCTCCTTCCTTCCCTTCCTCCTTCCCAGTGTCTCTAAAAATCAATGGAAGAAATATCCTCAGGTGATGATTAACTAAACAGAAATAAATAAAACATCTGTGTCCACCAGAGAGGGGCTTCTTCAATTCCAGCTTTCCCCCTCATTCCCTCCTCAGGGTCTCCCACTCCCTCCTCTGCTGGGCATACAGGGATGCTATAGGGCCAAACGGGTTCACATCCCTGGCCGCCCACCGAGCTGTGTGGCCTTGTGTCCCTCTCCCACCTCTCGGGAGTCTCATACTTCTTACAGGAGCTGGGGGGAGGCTTATCCTCACCCTCTCCCGTCTCCTGCTAGGTGTCTGTGTAAAGACAGGGGATACCAGTGGGTACGTGTTGGGATGCAGCTGAAGTGGATGGAGGCTACAGAAAGGGCAAGAAAGTGGAACTGTGCGATCCCCAAGGGCCCTTCCTGACTCTGCCATGTGGTGCCTCCTTGCCTGGGTGGCTGTGTGTCTTTGGGAAAGTCTCTCTCTGTAAACCAGGAGGGTTGTACTTGGAGATCCCCAAAAGCCCAGTTAGCCCTGCCCCATTGTTAGGAGCATATCTGAGAACAAAAGCTGAGAGAATTCATCTTCTACCCATTCCCCAACACTTACCCTTTCCTCTCACAATTCTCCCTAGTCTACATACTGTTCTTTGACTCAAGGGGGAAAAAAACAACAAAAAACCCAAACCCTGACCCTGAAATGTCTCAGGCATGATGAGATACTGGGGAGGGAGATGGGAACAGTGCACTGACATGAGTAACTGGCCGAAAGAAGCTGATGGCGTGGGGAGGACATTCCCAGGAAGGGCTGTCATGGATGCATGAAGGTTTGGAGATTAATTGGGCCTGGGAAGGATCCTGGAACGCTTCTTGGAGGAGGTGATGTCTGAGTGAAAGATAGGAACTGACAGA